TACCTTTTTAGGTCCTCGTTTGCATTTTTTAGATCTAACCTCAGCATGTATTCAAATTATAAAACCTCACTCAGTGGAATTGGTAGGATGGAACAAAGTGTCAGTGAGAGAGCATCTGAATTTTGGAATTCAGGAGAGCCACAGTAGAACGCAGCTATGTAAGTAACATGGATTTTAAAAATAAAGGACAAATTATTCACAATGTCATACAATGAATGAATGCTACAAATGAGAGAAATACCTCCTAAGCAATTCTAAAGGAATGCTATCACTATAAATCAGTTTTTATTCTCTGGATATTAAAATAAATGGAATCATGAAATATGCACTCTTTTTTGAGGGGGGGTCTGGCTTCCTTCACACAACATAATTATTTTGAGACTCATCCATATCATTGCATACATCAATAGTTCATTCTTTTTTAGTGCTGAGTAGTATTACATGATATGGATATACCATAATTTTTTCTCCATTCACCTCTTGATGGACATTTTTTTGTCTTCTTTATTCTCTGTAAACTGGCAATTATGTCTAAAGACTTGACTAGAGTCAGATAAAACATTTTTGGGAAGAATACTTCGTATATTACACTGCTTATATCGTATCAAATTACATCAGGAGGCACATAATGTCTAGTTGTGCCAGCAGCACTTAGACTGATCATCTGAGTTAGGATGGTAAATCATTATATCTTGAATCTTTTTGTTAAATTCATTGAATTTTCTATTTCAGGTGTGTCAGTTTCCATTACATTGGTAGCTTTTTATCTCCATAGCTATATCTTTTTCCAAATTTCTTTATTTTCATTGTCTTTTTTTCTTTCCATATTCTGTGATTTTTCTCAAGCCTTTCTACCACATTTAATTGATTTGGCTTTGAGTCATGTTTATTCCTTTCTTCACTGTTTCTATTTTTTTCTAATAATGTTTAGAACTTTGATTTGTGTATGGTCTCCCTTTTTATCTAATTCTGCTATCTTATCTCATCTTTGATATTTTTGTTTCATTGATTATGTATTCTCTTTAGTGCCTCATAGAGGAATGTTACTCAAAGTGTTTGCCCATTATAATTTAAGAAGCATGCACCAGAATGTAAACCATGCTACTTCCTTCACTGAGAGTGTCTTGCTATTAAAAAAAAAAAAATGTCAGCTGAACTAAATAGCATTCTTGCTGATATAGTTGATTTATGTTCTGGCACAATCTGCTTATCTTTTCATAGACTGGTAACAGTTCAGAGACTGGCAATGTGTTCATGGACTATACTTTGAGTATCACCATCTTAGAATATAAATATTTGTTATATAAATTATTCTTTAGTTTCTTTGATATGTATTTAATAATAAAAATAGTTGCTAATGTTTATTGAACACTTACTATGTGCAAGGCACTAAGCCCTTTTGATCTTCATAAAAACCCTAAAGGTAGGTATTATAATTATTTTACAGATGTTGAAATCAAAGTACAAACATATTGAGTAACTTGTACAAAGTCACACAGTCATTTTATAGCAGGACTGGAATTTATACTCAGGTAGTCTGATTCCAGAGCACATAGTCTTAATGAAAATGGAATTTGCCTTTTGTATGCTGTGATTCTTCTGATATTATATTTCCTGTAATATTTTTGCATACATGACATAGCATATTTGCCATATTGTTCTTTTCACTCCTCTCCTATTTAATGTTGGGAATTCTGTTGGGGTCCTCTTTTGCTTAGATATAAAGTGGATAAATTCTGGACTCTCCTTCCTTCTTAGCTCAGACCTGTTGATCTTCCCTTCAGAACTTCAGTTCAAGGGCTCCATTCTGATTAGTTATATTTTTTTCACATTTCTGTTGCCTGAAGGGATGGGTGTGATTAGCTCTGTTGGGCCTTGGTCAATAGCAATTGGTAGCTTTGGTTTTACCTGTTTTCTGGGACAAGGAATGGAGTTGGGGTGTCATTCTATCAAGTGAAAAGCAAAAATAAAATGGCTCAGCCCTACAGAGGACAATTTGACCAAGTCTGTCACTATTGTCTTTTGTCATAGAAATTCCATTTGGGGGAATTATTCTACAGATAAACTTGCACACCTATGAAATGACTTTTGTACAAAGTTTTTCATTGCAGCATTGTAATAGTAGTAGACTGGAAACAACTCACATATCCAAGAACAGGGAATGATTATGATATTTCCACATGCAGGAAGATTGTGTAGTTGTAAATAAGAGGAAGTTCTCCATATGCTAATATGCAAAACTCTGAAGATATAATATTAAGGGAAAAAGCAAAGTATATCAATGTTTATTTACTGCTATTTGGCACATATATGGCATATGTGTGTGTGTGTGTGTGTGTGTGTGTGTGTGTGTGTATATGAATGATGTTATCCTTTTTGAAAAATGGGAGGAAAAGTAAGAATATATATTCATAAATAAACAGTGGAAGGATATAGGAGAAACTAATAAAGTTGGTCACCAGTAGGAAGCCGTAGGGGTAAGTAACAGGATGGATGGGGACGAGGGTAGGAGTGAGACTTTTCAGTATAAACCTTTTCAAAGTCATGATGCGTTTCAACTACTACATTTTGTTAAAATAAATGAAAGATGTATATACATACACATTTTAATTTCTGTGAACAGTGAGTGATCTCATGTGCCTCTCCCTGGCTGCCTCCCTCACTCTCCTCCCATTTAGCTTTGGTGCAGGAGGTGAAACTTAAGTGTTTTAAGCCTGTGCTAACTGTCCCTATGGAGGAAGAGGGCTTTCCAGGAGGCTTTCCAGGATTCTTTTGCCAACCTTCTCCCTCTATCCTTCAGCACTCCATGCCTTTCTTCTGTTCTAGCAGAGCCCTCTTTACTGGCGCAGTTAATTGGCACACACACAGTGAGCACAGTCGGGTCCTCTGACTTCCTCCCAGCCCAGGGAACCACAGTGATGAGTCCTGACCACCTCCCTCGGTCTGAATCACAGTGGTGGTAAGAGCAGCACATGGCTTTCCACATCTTTTTCCCTTGGCAGTTTCCTTACTTCCTCCCTCCAAATCAGGAGGCCATAGTGAAGTTTTCCAGACGTCACTAACTTTATTTCGGTGGATAAGGCTGCTTGGAAGTTGGAACAGCACATCATAGATTTCTGAAGGCTTTTGTTCTTTTTTGCTGACTAGTATTTAAGAAAAATAAGTCAAAGTTGTAATTCTTTTGTTTTTTGTTTGTTTGTTTTTATGTCAAAAGATTTTGTGATCTGGCTTGACACACCATTTTACCCTAGAAGTTTTTGATACTCTTCACAAATATCTGTTAAATATTCCTTTTTGAATATCTGTTGAATATTCCTTCAAGTGTACTTGTTTGCACCAGCTATTGATTAAGATAATGATGTTAATTGGTATAATAAAACTATTTCAACAATAAATGTAGATCATTTTAATTGACACAGTAAACAGATGCCTAGAATGGTCTAACAATTGTTTTCTTATGCAGGGGAAGCTTCTTTCTGCAACTTTGCATAGCAAAACCTTTGCACATAATGCAATAATAAAAGTCAGCAGTGAATCTTAACCAATGAAGAGTCCCAGTTAATTTGGTTTTATTATTTTGGATATGTGTATGTCATATTTTACAGTTAGAATAACATTTGGTAACTATCACAATATACCGTGGAGCCAGAACCTAAAGTACAGACATAGCGAATGACACTGGTCAGCGATTTCTTCACTAGGCAGAGACAGCTGCAAACTTTTTTATTCCTTGTATACATTAGAATGAAATTTTCTATGCATTTTTCCTTATCTTTTCTTCCCATTACAGTTTTTACCACTTTTGTTGCATGATTTCTTCTAAACCTAAATTATTTAGACATATATAGCCATGTTATTCATGTCATTATGAATGCAATTATAATTTCTTCTTGGATTCTGTTCTTTGCCCATAAACAATAAATAAAAATGCTCTAGATGATAGCCTGTGGACCATATTTGAAAATACGGAACCTATATTTATCTATTCTAAATTTTCTGTCTTTTGATAAAAGAATCCCCCTTAAAACTTCCTACTTGGCAGTGTATTATTAGCAACAATGCCAACATTTTCTGAAGAGTTTTTTAAATTAGATTCACATGGAATACTTTTCTTTCATGCCTGATCTAATTCTTCCACTCTGAATTTAGAATTTTTTTAAAGCAGAAGAATGAGCCTAGACTGTAATCATTCTTTGTTGATTTCATGGGAGAAAATCTCAAGTCATTGTTTCTAGACTTCACTTACAAACCAGGATGTTAATTTTTCCCTGGGTAAATAAATATATTTTCTTCAATGTTTCCAGGATTAGTTGGAAAAAGATATCCCTTACTTTTCACACATCCTTCTTATAATTTTTCTCCATCAACTTACTATCACAGCAATGCCTGACCCCAAACAAACAAAAAAGCTCTGAATCAGAGACTCCTGGACATCATTTCATTTGACATTTTAGATCTTCTGTTTATGCTGAGTCAGTAAAGATGCTGCCAGACATCTTTAGGATATTTTTGTTTGATACTGAAATAAATTTATATTTAATATTTAAATATTCTGTTTCTTTAGATTTTCCTGTTTTTAGTCTACATTGTAATTTGATAATAGAGAAATTGGATTTAAACTCCATATGGATAGAATGATATGTTACCTTTTCACTAAAATACCAAAGTCATTTATCTTAATCTGGAGGTTTATAGTGCCACTTAAAATTTTTTTAATATCATTTAAAATTTCTAAATGTCACCTGTTATATACAACTGGACCCTCTGTTTAACTCACCCTTGACTGCCTATGGTAGCCCTTATGAAGCTCACAAAAGACTAGTAGTTTATTTTCCCAATTATCTGTTTGTCATTTACTTCTTTTTTTTTCTTTGTCATTTACTTCTTAGTATTAAAAGTATATTGAAATATTTTTGCGCTTTCCAGGTTGAATGAAAGTTTGTATTTTTAATGTTTTGATTAAATTTACAATATTCTGTTTTGTTATTTCTTTTTTCAGATTGAAAAGAAATGCTGAGAAATACATAAAGCTTTCCTGTTCTGCCTCGGATATTTACAATGGGTATCGGGAAGTCTAAAATAGATTCCTGCCCACTTTCTCTCTCATGGGGTAAAAGCCACAGCGTGGATGCACGTCAAGGACATAATGAGTCAGCTTCCAAGAACTCCGAGGATATCTCCCTGTGTGATGTTGCTGAGCGTGGCAAGACAACAGAGGAGCCCCCAGGGAAGCAGGAGGGGGCTGAGAGAGTGGCAGAGATGCCTGAAGAAGATGCTGAGGAGGAGGAGGTGTTCCTCAAATTTGTGATACTGCATGCTGAAGATGACACGGGTGAAGCCCTCAGAGTCCAGAGTCTGCTACAAAATGACTTCGGTATCAAACCAGGAATAATCTTTGCTGAGATGCCCTGTGGCAGACAGCATTTACAGAATTTAGATGATGCTGTCAATGGGTCTGCATGGACAATCTTATTATTGACTGAAAACTTTTTAAGAGATACCTGGTGTAATTTCCAGTTCTACACATCCCTAATGAACTCCGTTAACAGGCAGCACAAGTACAACTCAGTTATACCCATGCGGCCCCTGAACAATCCCCTTCCCCGGGAAAGGACTCCCTTTGCTCTCCAAACCATCAATGCCTTAGAGGAGGAAAGTCGTGGCTTTCCTACACAGGTAGAAAGAATTTTTCAGGAGTCTGTGTATAAGACACAACAAACTATATGGAAAGAGACAAGAAATGTGGTGCAAAGACAATTTATTGCCTGAAATGAAACATACAGTGCATGGCTGGCTCCTGTTTCACAAACCTAATGATTGATCTTCACTTAAGAAAGCAATTTCTAGGAATTGTTTAAATGAAAGAGAGCCTTAGCCTTCCAGAGAGCTGTGGAACACAAGAAAGGTAAATCTCTGCAGGACAATCTGTAGAATCATGGTAGTTTTTGATGTTTCAGTAAACTCAAGATTTTCAGAGTTTCAAGAACTTTTCTCTCAGGATTTTCCTAGTTCGTGGATATGGCAAAGGAATTCTCAATTCATATTCCTTGTATTGAACCTTGAACGAAAACTTGTATGACAGACATTTTAAAAGTGTGACACTTTTATTCTCTGAATTTTTTTCTCAAATGACATGCAGAAGAAATGGCCCCAAGAGATCTGACTACACTCTGTCACGAGGCACCTCTCATGAATGTTGTAATAAAGCACTCTGGGTACCGTCGCCCAGAAATATGAACTGCTGGAATAGAACATTTAGAATGTCGAGTGCTGATGCATACAAAATCAGAAATAGATGCGAGAATGGTGGAGCTTTTTAAAAGAATCCAGTCAAATGTGTTTTCCCTTCTGCTGAAATTTGCATATTTGGAGTCATTTCCCGCCACTGATTCACAACCCATTTGATAGTGCGGTTGTTGGGGACTCCAGTGGAGTGGTGCTAAGGTGCCCCCTGGGGCCTGAAGCTCTCTGTGTTAGTCATTGTCTGTAACCGGGACTTTTCTTTGCAGAACTTAAAAGGTGTATGATTGTGTGTGATTGGCCAGATGTTCTCCTTTAAAACCGGTTACCTCTCTTGCGGCATCCTTTAAAAAGTTTTCCTCACATGCAGTGCTCTACTCAGGAAGTATTTCTCATCTAGGTGTTCGGAGTAGCCTGGCTGTGTGTGCATGTATGTGTGTGGGTTGTTTTTAAAGACCTGGGATGGAAGCAGGAGATGTCACCTCCTCTTCTAGTGCCCCACGCTCACAGCAAGCCAGAGAGGCCCCCGACTGACCTGTTCCTTTCCCTCACAGCCCTTCTGCCCATCCGAGACTGAGGGAGCGTCACCAAGTACAGGCTGGGGATGGAGGGGAGAGTGAGGCACGTCGTGTTGTAATGAGAAAACACTTTCAGGGGTCACATGACCTGGTTCTAGTCCAATCTCTGCCACCAAAAATGCCCACAGTCAAGCCGTCTACCCTCCTTTATCTGTGAAATGAAAGGGTTGGATTGATGGATCTCTAAAGGCCTTTGTCCTCTCCCAGGATGTGAAAAACTAGAAACCAGAAAAGGAAACAAGAAAAAAGTTAAAATTTTAGAATGTGATATATCATAGTCACAGAGGCTTTTATATATGCCTGCAATGAAAGGATGCATTTGAACACTGACAGCATAATTGATTCCTGATGCTGCTATCACACTTTTAAAGTCACAGAAAAGAATTATTATCCATGCTTACTCGGGTTTTTTAAAAATACCTTTTTTATAGGGACCCTTGAGTGACAACATTTTCCCAACTTCTTTTTCTTCTCATACCCACCTCTCTGTATCTCCTACTAGTACTAAGGTCAGCTCACATCTTTTTGCAGTTCACCTCTTCATAGCCATGAACCAGAATGTTCTATGAAGAACATGTAAGTCAGTCAAACCCCCTATTAGTCCTTATTGGAGGAGGAGATTGTTTTCATTGCATGGTGACATCTTCTGAACCTTAATGTCCCTATAGTAGCTTACTACTCACTTTTCTTTTTCAGTTTTAATAAGTATTCATTTTTTTTGCCATAATGCTTCCTGTATCTCATATCTTATATGCTAATAAAACATTAACTGCCTATCCTTCATGCCTGCCAAACTTGGGACAATTGATGCTAAACGGTATTTTTTAAATAAATGTTCTTATTCTTTACCCTTGACTAAACGTGATTATTTCTAACTCCAGTGAAGATTGTGGAAAAGTGTCTTGAAAAGAAACATCGATTTGTTCTCCTCCACAGAGCACCAGGCACAATGTCTCACCCAATTTGAAGTTCAATACTGTTTTTTATGATGAAGAAAAATGTTAGGTACTGACTAACTGTACATGTTGAATTAACAATTGTAACAAGGAATTATCAAAATAAATAAACTGAGGATAAAAAGAGGTAAAGATGTGGGCTTAGTCGTGTGTTTGTGTACATATATGCAAATATAGAGATATAGACACACACACACACACACACACACACACACACACACACGGAGATTCTGGAAATTTCACCACATGCTGGGGCACTTCCAATTTACGTACCCTGTGGGCCTTATTGCCCATCCTGGAGCTTCACACAGACGAGTCTGAGTTGTGCCTTATGTATCAGTTAAGAAAACCCCATGCCACATGGCCTAAACCATAAAGTTATTAATAAGAGGTCCTCCCCAAGGTATGGTGGCTCAAAGGTATCGTTAAAAATCTAGGTTCTTACATATGCTGGAATATTATTCAGTCTTGAAAAGGAATAAAATTCTGATACATGCTACAACATGGATGAACCTCAAAAACTAAGTAAAATAAGCCAGACACAAAAGGAAGAGTATTGTATGATTCTACGTATATGAGGCAAATTCATAGGGACAGAAAGAATAGAGGTTACCAGGGGCTGGCAGGAGGGACCAATGGGGAGTGAGTGTTTAATGGGTGCAGAGTTTCTGTCTGGGGTGATGAAAGAGTTCTGGAAATGGGTTCGTGGCAACGGTACACCACATGGTGAATATACTAAATGCCACTGAGTTGTACACTTAAAAATGGTTCAAATGATAGATTTTATGTTACATATTAATATATTTTACCACAATACAGGTTGAGTATCCCCTATCCAAAATGCTTGGGACCAGAAGTGTTATGGATTTAGGATTTTTAGGTTAGGGATGCTCGTCCTGTGTTAACAACAACTGCGACGACAGGATTACAAACAAACCCGGTTCTTTTTGCTCTGTCATTCTCGGTGGTTCGGTTCAGCTCCCTCCTGCGCTGTAGCACGGCTACTCCAGTGTCAGATGCCACATACAGATGTGACAGTGTCGGCCTGGTAAGAGAAGGGAGTGGTCCGCCCAAGTGGGAAAACAATTTCATCACTGCGTTATTGAAAATTGTTGTTATGTGGTGATAATGCAGAGCCATCTGACTTCCAGCTGCTTTTATTATTTTAAAATTCTCTCCACCTCTACCCCAGGTGGACTCCTCCCACTCCCCACCCCCCACCACATCCTCCAACACCACTGCTGTGTGTCAGACTGACCGGAGTTGAAGCCCACCTCTGTCTGTAAATTATGCTCTTAAGCAAGACAGCTAAACTTTGGGGGGGGGGTCTCAGTGTTTTTGTCTAAAAATAAAGATCATAATATCTCCCTGAAAGGGTTATTCTGAAGATTCAATGAGGTAGTGCCTCACGCATAGCTACCGTATCTATGCTAGCAGAACTATTAGTGTCCCTACACACATTTAATCTGCGACATGGAATGGGGGAGAGGACACGTATGAGTTTATACCTGCCCACAACTCTATCCTCAGGACGCTTGCAACTTGCAGGGAATAAACTTTAAATGAAGAGAAAGAAAAATGTGGGGCCTTGTTTCCTTATGCAGTGCAGTCCCCACCTGGGTGCTGAGAAGTGGAAGAGCCCCCTGAGCATGGCCTCATCACTCTAATGAGTTAGGAAACTTGGACCATAGACTGGAAAAGCAAGAAAATGGAGCTAGGAGTGCCACATGTGAAGCCAGTTCAGGGGAAGAATGGCTCAGACAGACGTGCATGACTTCAGCTGTGTTTTGTTGCTCCTTATGTTCAAAAATGGTGGATTTATTTTGCATACATTTGAGTTTGGAGGGGAGGGGCGTAATCCATTTCATTTAGCCCTTTTCTGGGGCTCAGCAACTCCCAGATAATTTTGCCTCCTTTGGGAATAGGCTGGATGCAGTTTAGTTACACTCTTCTCCTTGGGTTGGGTGGAGGAGGGAGGAAGAGAAGGACTCATCTGCATTGCTCCTTTCTTTCCTGGCTAACAGATTTCTACCTTGAATTCAACAGGTTGCTTGCTGGTGTTAATCCTTTCTGGCTCAAGTCAGGGCTGTTCCACTGCAGTTGTGCAGATCCTAAGGCACTGTCTGGCAAACCCTCCTTGCTACACAGGGTGTGGCACCACTAGTTATAGAAATGACTTCCCTGGCCCCTCTCATCCACGGCAACTCATTCCTAAGCTCCAGCCCAACTGCTGATTATTGCGTTGTTCCAAATTGTGAGAAAGCCCAAAAAAGCCCAATCACTTCTTCCCCGGTAGCAAATACATAGACAAGAATTGATGAGCCATCCCTCTGCCCAGCAGAGGACCCTACAAAAAAGAGATCGAAGTGATTTTCAGAATCTCATTGCAGGGGGTGAAATCTGAGTTGGATTCCAAGGGCCTGAGGATGGAGAGTGGCTCAGAATAAACATCCAATTCAAGTGAATCATTGCATTGCAGGTAAAGAATCTCAGGTTCTTTACCTGTGCATTTTACAGGTAAAAAATCTCAGTGCAGGTGAAGAAACCACATGTCACACTGTCAGGTCAGAATATTTCCAACTTTAGGCTGAGCCTATTGATCTGTGACCGGGCTGGGCTGGCCCTGGGCTGGTGAGACGCCACTGCCGTGACTGCGTTGCTAGAAGGTGGCATGGCCCACGGGCCATCAGTGCTGCCTCCTCTTCACAGGCCTACATCGCCTCACCTTAGGTCACCTGCTGGGCTGTCACAGAATGTGACTGTACCCTCCCTAGTTGTGGATGGTCTGAAGGGCAAGGAGAAAATTTCAGAAAGCTGCCAAGCACCTGGTGAAATGAAAACATAGCATCCGGAAATTGATGTCCTTGAGCCAATGACTAGAAGGCATGAACAAGAGAACTGCTGTTGTTGTCCATGAACCTAATGTTTCTTACGAGATTCAGGAGAAAAATTTATTAGATTTTGGACATTTAATGTCTGGGTAAGAACAGCATTCTTCTCTACATACTTTAATTCTAAGTCGTATTTGGCAATGCTCATTGTCAGCTAACATATTAAGCCTGAATTGTGGTAAGTAGTACTCGAAAGTGCCATTAATAATAACTCAGAGCATGAAACTTATTTGATTGAAAGCTCAAGAAGTTAACCGTGGGGTGGTGGGGAAAAGCCCGTCGCTCTCTTCCCTGCTGCGCTGCTGGTACCACGG